TTTTGACATTTTCGACCGATTTTTTTTTTCTGTGTTTTCGTTTTCGATGCAAATTTTGACCAATCTTCCGAATTTTGGTCGGCGACCATCCCGGTCTCTGTTCAAAAATCTTTTCATAGTGATTATAAAAAAGCGATAAAAGCTGACCTCTCAAAGCTGATTCCATTATCGACATTCAGACATGATATTGATTTCGTGCGAACACGAAAAGGATATGGATGATATAGTTCGGCGATTAATTCAAACAAAAGGAGATTTAAACTTTTTAACAAAATACCTTTCCTTCTGATCCCTGGCGAGGAAATTCAATCGGTCATGGACGCCTCATACTGCTGGTGGTGGAATGACGTCCTACTTAAACCTTACCATCCCGGTGATCTTAATTAACAACGATGACAAGCGTAACCTTATATGGACCTCGATGTGTAAAGGCAAATTGAAGAAGATTCGCAGAAACTTCCCTCTTCCCCTTTTTTAGAATCAATTTGCGCTGCGCTCAATCTTGATGTAAACTTAAGTGGTGGAGAAAGACTCCAGACGTAAAGAATGAATGTTTTTCGCCCGATGACATGTTATGAACACATGAAAACAGATACGGGGTTATGGTTCTGTTTTACAGTTCATGTTAAGTCAAACTGTAGCTATAGAGTGCAGTTTAAAGTGTATGGATTCCTCAATATATTTCTACATTTTCATAACAATTCGTTGGATGATCGGGTTCTCCGTTTAGATTGTCCAAAATTTGACACTTATCGAACTGTTTTTAAGTGAAGTAACCTCGAAGGAGTCTCTAAAGAAATCCAACTTCCTATGAGTTCAGGAAGTTGTAAGATCTAAGCCAAAAATAAAGATGACCAAATGAACTTCCTTTTGTTCAATAGTTTGCAGTGAGACCACACATCTTCGCCTATGGATTAATCATACACGTTTGAGTTGATCTACCACGGTTTCTCTTCTGTGCTTGTCTGCAGGTTACCCACTCAAAGCGTTGACTGCAGCACGCCATAACTTGCCATATGATTTGGAACAGAAGATAAGATTAGCCATTTCCTAATCAAGGAAACCGAGATGAGACAAGATATGTATCCCCTCACCTTGCAACGGTTACCGAGTTCTTTTCCTCAAACAGTTTTAGGCTCTGAGTAACAGTTTAGACGAGAGACAGAACGACAACAATTATTGCATGCGAGAGCCTGGTACAGGTCAACTTTCCTGAATGTGAAAATACAGAGTTAGTATAAGGTTTCAAAGAGGTTTTTTGTTAGGGTGATAGGTAGCTGACAAGAGTGTCATCAGTTATCAGAAGAAGAATAAACTTTTTAGGAAGCCGCGTTAACTTAGGACACAGCATTGGTACTGGAAGAGATGTAAGCAAAATCATTCTTGCTAGGGGCAATCTGCTCTAAGGAATCTGAAGGTGCTATGACAAAGCATCTTGCGTTCGTGTTTGCGCATCGATGGATCCAGGGGAAGCGTTTGGGGCACCCAGATCTCTTCCTCTCAGACCTGTGAGTTTGTTTAAATACTTGTCTGACACCCGCAAGTTTCTTGCAAAGAGAGGATCGAATGTTGTTACTCAACATGAAATCTCTAAATTTCACTCCTCCTGAGAGATCTCTCACCCTATGTGATCTTCGGAGAAAGTAGAAATACCTATGTTTTTCTGAAACAAATTTTGGATTCTCAAGAAAATAATTCCTGGATTTGCCCCTATTTTTAAAACCAAAATGGTATTATGTCATAAATATTTGCAAACTTCCGCAACTGATTAGGCAGTTGAACCTTGGCAGTATGCGACGACCTCCCATGGTTTGACGAGGGCATCGCAAATGTGTTTGTGTCGCATTGAAAAAAGATTTGTCAGCAACTCTCGTTGTCTTGCACGTGGCCAAGACTTGTTTACTCTGATGTTTGTTTTATTACAAAAAAACGATGTCTTTTTGTCTTAATTACACTCCATGTTTTCCTCTTTCTTTGGGCTTTTAAACGCTTCCTACGAAAACTACATTTGTTCAGTGATGGCTTAAGCAAATAATTAAAAATTAACGGTCAATTTGACTGCGTAGATATAAAATCACGTCGCACTAGTTCCTGGCTCGCACATAAGGTAATTCCTGTTTGGCTCTTTACTAATGAGAGGAACCAGCAAACAAGGAGCGAACCAAAATTTTGACGGCTTACGCTCGTGCCCTGGTTGCAAAAAGTTCACTAAACATGATATTTGGATGACTCTACAAGATAATTGTCATTCTTTAAAGCAATCAAGTTTGGGTATTCACGTGTCTGTCTGATCTACGAGCAGTAGGACGTGGTGTGTGCTGTAGATTCCCAAGTGGCAAATCAGCGACACGTGTACGATGTTGGGGTCTACGGAACATTCTGATAACACCCTTCCTAAATTCTGGCATCCATATAGCGTACACAATTGGATTTACTATGGAATTAGCGCCAGCTAATGTTGCCAGCGACATAACAACATGAAAGTAGGCCTCTTTTAAGCTGAAGGCACCTTCATGCCAATATAGAACTATGAAGATAATGTTATATGGAAGTTACCAAAAGATGCAAGCGTGACAAAAAGTAAGGTGGCGGTCAATTTTCTTTCTCTGTTGGTTTCACCATGATGTTGAGGATTAGGACCGAATCGAACTTTGATGAAAATTGAAATAGAGGAAATGCTGATCAGAATTAGAGAAACTGACAAAATTGATGCTGAGCTAACCCTTTTGAATGATATAGCGAGATGAGAATTTCCTTGTATTTCGTATAACAGAATTAATACAGTCTCCCTCGATGAAGTTAGAAACCAAATAGCGGCAATTGCCATTGCGTAAACCTTTTTCTTAATTACACGATGCTCAAATGGAAATAATGTGGCATGCATTCTTTCTAAAGAAATAGCAGCGAGATTTACAAGTGAGGCCATGGGAAACAAATCGGCAAATCTAAAAATCGTCTGAGTTCCCCTCCATAAATCGCAATAGTGCCCCAAAAGATGATTAACAATCACAGGACCCGAAACTGCTCCAGCCAAAAGATCGGCTGTGGCCAGATGGATGATCAAGTATGTACTCTGCCGCTGTAGCTGGCGCTGCTTCACAAATACAATAATGGTGAGGAGATTGAGGATGACAATGGCCAGACATTCAGTGATGGAAGCAACAAGCCACGGAATGCAGTCCGGGGAGTAACTGAAGGTGAAATTCTTCTTCTCGGAGGTTTCGTTGTCGGAAATGTTTCTGATTCAAAAATATTACTTGAATGTGAAAGTGATCTTCGCAGTGATGATCACTACGTAAGCAGAAATGAAAATAAGGTCTGAAAAAAATGTATGGGATTTAAAACTATGACCTTTACGATACCGGTGTAGCGCTGTACCGAATTAGCTAACGAGCCAACTGGGAGCTGGTCATTAAGTTAGTTCCAAATAAACCCGTAAAGTGATGAATAAATGACTGTGAATATACGAAAATCATGTATGTGAACTGCGGATAAAGACGTGAATATGGAAGCGATCTTCGCAGTAAAAAAATTCAAATCTTCACGGGTTTATTAGTATGGAACCAACATAATGACCAGCTTCCAGTTGGCTTGTTAGCTCAGTTGGTAGAGCAGCGCATTGGTATCGCAGAGGTCATGGGTTTAAATCCCGTAGTGTTCATTACTGCGAAGATCGCTTGCATATTACATGATTTACATGATTTACATGATTTACATATATTTACAGCCGTTAAAAAATATTACTTGTGTGTCAAAGGAGGAGAGTCCTTACTTTCTCATGACTGAATACAAATTTACAACAACGACGGCTTTCAAGTTAGATAAACCAAGAATAAATTTTATCACCCCTCACTAGTTGGCGATTTAAAGATTTCATTTATAGGAAACGCAAAATTTTACCATGTTCTTTACTTCTTGTATCCACCGTCTTCCCGCTAACTGACAGCTACCTGTAACACTTGTGCTGGTAACCAAATTGAAGGCTTTCGAATTTAGCGGTAAAAAACGAATCCAAAGCCTTCTCTATTTCCACTCTCTGCGGCACTGTCTTCCGGAGCCGTATCTCTCTTCCGCCTACATACACAAATAACAAAAACTTCTATTTAAATCCCCCAACCAAAATTAAATTTCAGGCAGGAGAGTCTCCTCATACCTTAACTTTGAATGGAGCAGAATCGCGACGCAGTTAGATGAACATCGAAGTTTTACTTTGTGTTTTTTCGTGCTCTCGAGCATAGAAAACCACAGAAACACTTTGTAATAATCGTCGCTATTTGTAATACAATTGTCACACTTTGCAATACCTGTCACACTTTAGAATACGTATCGCACATTGTAATAACACTTGTCGCACATTGTAATAACACTTGTCGCACTTTGTGATCACACTTTTGGCACTTTGTAAAAAAAACGCTGTCGCACTTTGCAAACCTACCTGTCGCAATAGGTAATAAACCTGATATAGATGGTCAAGGGTAAGTGGAGTCAACAACAACCATTATAACTCTCGTAAACGACAATCTGGATGATAATAATGATGATATTGATAACAATAGCAATAATAGTAATAACAATAATAATAATGAGAATAGCTATAAATATGATAATGATGATGATTGACATACTATAACAGTAATAGTGATGGTGATATTGACGAAAACGAAAATGTGTATAATACGTTGACTGGCTGTGCTAGAAGTTTGCCGAGACCACAATATTTCCATACTCCTTTATTTTAGTTCAGCTTTATTCCAAGGTATAACCACACGTAAAATATTATGGACCATTTTGGTTCACACTGTCAAATTTTTCTTACGGTTGAGCGACATTTGTCCGTTTTTTTTCTTTTTCTTGCTGGTGTTATGTTTCGCTCCTCTGTTCAAATGAAAGGCACTTCGTTGAATGCTGATACATTTCATCTGTAGCTACGTATCTAGTGAATTCCTCATCAGCTGTGATTTTTGGAGAAACTCTTATTACAAGCTTTACTGACAATTAAATCAGGCATCATCATCTAGTCTACTCGTGTGCAGAGGATTTCGACGCGGTAAACTGCCTGGAGCGATTTGCCTTGGAGTCCTACGGAATATTCGACATATTCCATCTCGAAAATCAGGCATCCTGAGGGCATACACAATTGGATTTAACAAGGAATTGGCACCAACTAGCGCCGCCAGTGTCATCCTGATATGAAAGAAAGACCTCAAGTTAAGAGCGTTTGTATTTAGGCTAAATACAATAAATGGCAGCCATGTCAGTAACGATGCAAGCGTAACCCAAAGTAACGTAGCTGTCAGTTTTCTTTCTCTGTTGATTGCACCGTGGCGTTGAGGATTAGAGCTGCGTCGAACTTTTATAAAGATTGAAATATAACAGATGCAGATGACTAAAAGAGAAACTGACCAATATGTGTATGGCGAGATTGCAATGGTGACAGGAGACACGACACTTTCTGTATTATATACGATAACTTGAACCAATTACTACTACTATTAGTACCAATTACTACTCCATAAACCCATTTCTTGACCAAGCGATGCTTAAATGGAGAGAATGTTGCATGCAGTCTTTCCAATGAAATGACTGCGAGATTAACAATAGAAGTCACTGGAAAAAGGTTTGCTAATGGAAAGATTTCAGTATTGTACTTCCATAAATCACAGTAAGACCCCAATAGATCACTAATAATCACAGGACCGGAAACTGCACCAAATAATAGATCGACTATTGCCAGATGGATGATCAAGTATGTGCTCCGACGCTGTAGCTGACGCTGCTTTACGAACACGATAACGGTGATCAAATTGCAGATGACTATGGCCAAGCACTCAGTTATGGATATCACGAGCCATGGGATACAGTCTGAGGCAAAATCCAAGGTTAACGTCGTGTTCTGTCCGTAACTGCTGTTTGAAGTACTGATATTGTCGTCTTGATCCATTTTGGAACTGTGAACATTTTGCAAAGGAGAATAGCAATATTTAGGAAATATGTTTACGAAAGGTATCGGGTCTTAAGGCTAGTAGGAAATTTGAAGGGTCGAAAGTCCCTTCTTCTTTGTAATATGGTTCCTAGCAATTGTGGTATTATTTTCATTGACATTTACCACGCATCATGCAAACGAATTCCATCTCCAAGTAACTATATATAAGGTGAATTTTCGACATTCAGCTAAACTAGGAATTTAACATCTGAATCAGGGTATCGAGAAGACTTCTTTCACTTACCAAACTTTTGAAAAATACTCAAAGGATTTAATTTATTTGCCTTTATTTTTTCATTCGTTTGAATTACGAGATTGTTTGATTTGAAGTTATGTGTTTTCACATGTGTCGCCGGGTGTTCAATTTTTTAAACTAAAATGCACTGATGGAGAAGAACAATATCTTAATAGAATCTTGCAAAATTTTCCTTTGCAGTACAGCCATACGGGTTCCTCCCTTTCGTTCTGAGCATCGATTTAAATTCTTCATCGGAGACCTTTATTATGCCACGGAAGTTTTGGCAATTTGTGGGTAACCCATTCTTTTCGATGCAAATTTGTTACCCGCGGCCATTTTTAAGTTCAGTGGCAAAACGTTGGATAAGAAAAACACTATTCGAAATTTGTGTGACTTGACAAAGACCACCAGTGGCGACAAAGACATTGAAAAACATTTTCTTTTCACAAAATAAAGTCAGAGACTGATCGAATGGCACCATAGCATTTTCCCACATGCAACCTTAAGGCGTTAAATCCGGGAGAAAAAACGTTTGAGTTCTTCGCTTGCGATTTTTTCAGATCAATTTCTTGAGTTTTCTAGATTTCTTGCCAATATTTTTTAATGCTCAACAATTTTAAACATAAAGTTCTATCGGCTTACCTCAAATGAACAACTAGTTATTCTTGGAGAAAAGAAAACTACCTCTTGTAACTTTAAATAGTTGTTGAGTGTGGAGTGAAATTGTAGCAGTGCCTTGCTGTAAAATTGAGAGATGAAAATTGCTAGTGACGAGCCAACACAACTAAATAACAAAAATATGTTGTTTAAAAAGAAAAAAGGAATGCATGCAAAACACGGTCATTCCTGATTTCTCAATTTGTAATACAAGAGGCATACCACAAGAAATCTTTAAGTTAGACCCCAAAGCTTTTAGGTATTTTTATGTGTAATAAGTTGGGTTATTTGCTACATGCAGAAAGCAACGATCAGACAAAAGGTTCTCTTGAAGCAGTCGTTGATGATATCTTAACACGATTTACATGAGGTATAATACCTCGGAATCTTGTGGTTTGGTTATACTTAAATAACATACCTCAGGCGAGCAATGGACGATTTCCAAATCTTTTTGTTTCTGGTAAGGACAGAAAGTTATCATCCACGGCGGCACTCTAAAAGCCTGAAATATCACTTGGATTAGTAAAAGGAAGAGAAGACTTCGGCCAAGCTTAGCTACCTCAACTGAAAACACCCGTCGAAATCCTTCAATTTATAAAGTATTCCTACGTGAAAGCTAAGTTAAATGAATCAATAGAACAGGCAGACAGGAAGAGGACATTAATAAAAATTAGTAAATGTATCGTATGACCTCTTACTTTACAGGTGTAGACTTTATTTTAGACCGCTTTCCGGCATTTTGGCAGGAGTGACTGAATATCTTTTTAAAGTTGAGCTTACAGTATGCTATAGATTCCATTATTCAGCTTTTTATTAAATCGCAAGCCATGAAAACACGCATGGACTAGGACTAAAAAAAACACGGTTCCAATCCTTTTACACTCCATTTACCTCGCGCTTTCTTCTATGATTTGAATTTCGGTTTGTCTTTAAACTAAATGGTCTAGAATAACAACCTTTCACTCTTCTTAATTCATTCTGGCGACGACTCCACCGCTTTGGAAAGCAACATGAACAACGACAATAAAATTTATTTATTTACTTTGGCAATTTAAATTCCTAGCAATCCCTACCCGAAAAATGGCGAAGCTAATCGAGGAAACAAACGTTCTTCAAGTTTCACTGCAAAGAGGAATTAACTAGGAGAGCATACACATACAGGAACGTTTTAAAAAAATAGTACGATGAATTACAGAGGAGCCAATTAGGTATTACGTATTACAACCAGAATAAAATTACATGCGAAAAAACAAAAAGAAAGAAAATGAATCTAAAAATGGAATAATTTAGTTAATTTGTCAGCTAAAGTATGGACGTCAACATAAGTATCCTCTCGCGTCAAAATGTTTAGCAGCTGTCTGTGTATACCATTTAAATTCATATTTGGGTAGAAAAAGAAGACGGATGGGAATACTATTCCAGATCCTTGCACCCAGTCTTGAGAAAGAATGTTTCTTATGTTTTGTTCTCGAATGTTTAAGATAGAGATTACCGGCCGCTGAGGACCTTGTATAATAATGGTGTTCTTCTGAAGAATAACTAAATAATTCTGAAGTGTCGGGTGGTGTTAGATCGTTGACAAATTATGCATAAAGGAACATATTGTCTTGAAATAGATCAGATGACGAGGAAGAATGTTTGACAAGTTGACAAAAGGTACAGCGTTAAATTTAAAGGGTTTGAAAAATATTATGCGGTGAGCATGTTTTTGCAGAATCAACGCGTTTTCCAAACTCGATCGGGCAACTTGGCCGCAGACTGCAACCCCATTGGACAAGTAAGCTTGAATAAAAGATCGATATAAGTTAAGCAATACACTGTAGTTGTGAGACAAAATTTCTCAATCTTGATAAAATGCCTGGAGACTTGCTTATCTTAGCTGAAATAAAATTCAATGTGTCGAGTCCGAGATCATTTTGAATTGAAAAGGACACAAAAGTATTTTACATATTCTTTCCTTTCCAGAGAGAGAAGGGAATTAGCGCTACAATAAGAGATATTTATGTTCACTTCACACTTAACACTTTTTTGATACGATCTGAATATAACAAAGTTAGAGTTGAAATGATCAAGCATATCCTTCAGCTCAGAAGAACAGGATGATTTTCTGACATATTCTAAATTTTTGCCCAAACTCGGTCGGCAGAAGTCGAAATATATTTCCATCCTTTTTTTCTTGACAACTTAAAGAAATTAAAAAGGAGACTTAGAAGAGAAAGATAATTATACAGTCTTCAGAGGATGAATCTAATTGCTTAATGTAGAACCATTATATTGGTATACATAAACTGCTTGCCTTTTGTTTTGTGCAAACATTTTTTATTAAAACAACGGGACGTGTTTACCATCCCAGATGACTGAAATTCAGCTTATAAAAACGTTTAGAAATGAAGGTAAATTACATTTTATCTTATATCAGGTGGTAAACGAAAAGTCGTTGAAGCGACGATAATCGTTAAATGACTACTTTCTTAAAATGGGAAGAGTAGACGTGAAAGCAGTTTGATAATTCTGGAAGGAAATATCTGAAGCTCCCATTTTTTTCAACTGAATACGATTTAAGCGCAATACAGCTTTCGTGAATTAGGAAAGACCATCTGTTGTTAAACCTCTCAAAGTTTCTGCTAAAAAAATTTTTTTGAGTCACTAAAGGACACAATTGCGGTGATGACATCCGCGTAATAAAGGTGTTCGCCAAATGCGGGTATGTTTTCAAATAAAGAAAAAAGATCGCGACTTTGGCCCAAGTGCGCGTCACATAAGGTGTCCATTTAAAATTGGGTCTGCTTGAAGGAGTATTCAGGTTTTATCATAAAGTTGAGCTGAAAACGGAAGAAGATCTGCTCTGCGTTTTTATCTCTGTGCTGTGATAATTTTCACGGGTATTTTTCTTGTTTTGTTTTGTTTTTATTCCTCAACAGAGCGTATTGCTGTGTTCTTGCGTGTAAAGGACTATGGTTGACTGGAACCCCACAGAAGTAAATTGATCATCTCGCAATAGAAAAAATAAATAAGTGGGTGCACATTCAGCTCAGTCTGTATTTCAAATATATGAATATATGAGTTTTCTCTTTTGATCCCTTGTTGCTCATCATTTGTGTTCATGAAACTGCGCCCGACCTGTATGGTACCGCTAGTTGTGTGTTTCTTTGTTCTGAATGTTATATGTAACTTGGGGTTTATCGTTACAAGCCAGACTCAACACGAAACATATGCAACAAGAGAAGGCTGTTGACATTTGGCGAGTCGCTTAGCCATTTTTAATATTTTATTTACATTTTCGGATTAAAATTATTGCGAAAAATGAAGCTTCAGCCTGAACTTAAGACTGCAAAGTGGATATTCGACTGTTCGTACTTACTGGCTTTTTTACCGAGTCAACGAAGCAGGAGAAGAGCACTGCAGAAGTGGCCTTCTACTTCAGATGTACCCTAAGTCTTCAACAGGGAAAATGGAATCCTCAAATCGTTGATGCCCGCTGTCGTGGCGGTTTAGAAATACGAGTTATCTGAACGGCAATTGTCTGTCTGAAGGAAAAAATGTATTAATTTTCACATTGAGGGTTTAAACACTGCAAATCTAATTCAAATAAAAGCCTCAATAAACAGAAAAGGTAGAAAGCTTTGGCAGGAAATTACCTCTTGTCGGAAAGCTGTGTGACTTTCTTAGGGAGTGCACTTTGCCGAAATCTTCTTAATTACACGTTTTATTCTGTAGTATTAAGAAAAGATGAAGCTTGACATCTGACAATCTTAAGTTTTTAAGTATTATTCCGACGACTGTTTTATGACCAGAATAGGTTAAGACTGTTATAAATGCTTAAAAGAAGGGATAGCAATAACAATTGGAATCTGAAAGCAGTTACTTAGATTAAGTTTTGTTTGCTGAGGTAATGGAATTCGAATGCCACTCGTATAAATCCACATTTGTTCTATCGGAAAACGGTTAACAATGAAATGACGCTTAGCAGCAATGCCCGTTCGCCTTTTTCGGTGTACACTAGCTGTCAGGGTATCTTGTTTTCGATGTGTAATTCACTGTTCGGACTGAGCATGCCCCTTTTGTACGTTTTATCACAAAAAGAAAAGACAAATATTGTGCTTCATTATAAGATGGCAAACAGCTGAGAAATAAAAGCAAGAAAATACAACGACCGAAAAACTTTTATTTGTCAAAGAGCTCAATTACTTAATACATCATACTTTGGCGCGCATCAAAAGATAAATAGTATGTTAGTTTCGCTGTCTCTCCACGTCGATGCCAATGAAGATGGAGTTGTCTCAATTTTAGGATTTCTCATTTACCAGACAATTTGGCATTTATCCTAATTTACTCTGTTATTCAAAGTATTTCACTATAAAAAATTGCGATAAAACATTTCTTAAAATCATTTCAAGATTAAAAAAAATTGCTAAAAAGCGACGACGTTTCGACGTTGGCTGAACGTCATTATCAAGTCAAAATAAGTTAGTGATTTTTGGTCTATAAATACTAAAAAACAACAATAGCTGATTAAAAAATTGTAACGTGAGAAAATATCAAACAAAGAGATTCGCACGTATGGAGTCCGTCTGAATATTTAAATTGGGCTTAAGTTTCTTGATGAAGAGCATTTCAAATACTAAGCAATCAAATTTGCTCTGGCACTTTCTTAAAACCGTGAATTGGCTTTCTCTCAAAAGGTTGTTGTTACCATGAGCTTCTAAGAAATGTCTACCGATTGCCGAATTTTTGTGTTCAGCAATGCGTTGATGAAGGTGTCGGGCTGTATACCCGACATAATCTGCATCGCACAGATCACATGAAAAATTGTAAACAACACACTGCTTATTAACAATTGACGGCTTGATTTCTTTGGGTCTGAGGTCTTGCCCCAATTTCTTGCTCACGAAAACTGGTTGCAAAGTAGGGCCAATCTTATGGCTAGGATCGCGTAACCGCTTACGAACCGCATTAGCGGCCACTTGATCTTTAAAAGGAAGACTAATTCTTACTATGCTACTATCATCATTGTTTCTTTCTGCTTTGTTCGCTGAGGAATTTAGAAAAAGAAACGTTTTGATAGCAGAATCAATAACACTCATTGGATAGTCAAGGCGACTAAATATAGAGCGCAACTTGGCACATTCTGCATTGAAAGCCTCTGTTGTAGACGACAAGGAATAGGCACGATGTATCATTGTCTGTAATAAAGAGTCTTTACAGCGTTTATCCGGGTGACTTTGGAAATGTAGGAGCAATCCGGTGTTTGTTGGTTTTCTGTAAACTTGAGTTTCAAGTTTAGTTCCGTTCTTGACGATTTCAATGCCAATAAAAGGGATCTTGTTATCCACAGGAAGCTCCATCGTAAATGTTAGACTGGGGTGTAGGCCATTCAGGGTACTAAGAAACTCAGCAGCAACATCAACGCTAGGCATTCTAGCCAGAGTATCATCAACGTACCTCTTGTACAACTGGGGCATCAAGCCCTCGCATGTAAGCTTTTCTTCAAGATGACACATGAAGACATTGGCCATTAGAGGACCAAGGGGCGAGCCCATGGCCACACCATCTGTCTGTTGGTAGAGTTGACCATTAAACTGGAAAAGCTGATTGGTTGTGGCAATTTCGAGTAGTCTAGCAAGCTGGTCCTGTTGCAGATTAAGGCCATAGGTTTTGTTGAACCAATCACCAGTGAAGGCCTTGTTGACTAAGATTTTGATAGTCTCATCTAAAGGCACATTGGTAAAAAGAGCTGTGACGTCATAAGAAGCCAATATGTCATCTTCATTCATAGTGTGGGTACGAATCTCATCAGCAAAGGTAAAAGCATCAGTGATTGTATACTCATTTAGAGAAAGTGGCTTCAGCTTTTGTTCAAGCCATTTAGCAAGATTGTAGTTGTAAGTTCTGCTATCAAAAAGTTTCGTGAATCGAAATCCGTGTCTACGAAAACCGAAGCGAGCGCGAGCTTGGAAAAAAAGATATGAAACTCGCCTTTCTGGACAAGATCACAATGTTTTTTACTTTTACTAGAAAGATCAGTCCTTGTAAGACGGAAACTATACTAGCTGGAAAGATGACTTCTCTTGCGGATTTACAACGCTTTATCTTGTTGTTAGTCTGCCTCGTACCAAATGGGAGTCGGAAGCCAAAGCGAAGTAATAATGTTGTTTGTATTAGGTAAGATAGTTTAAAAGAGGTTTAAGTTGAAAGCCATTTGTGAGTAATAACATTTATCAGTGGACTTCTGTAATTAAATAATTATCTCAGCATACCTAACCGCAAGCAAATTTCCTAAAACGATCCTCGGTTTTTTTCTAAAATGTTCCGGTGCTATCAAATATTATCGAGCAAGGCGTTTGCATCAATGAAAACAATTGTTCATAACCGGGTATGAACAGCCGGTCAATGACAAAATTGTAGACCGTGTTTTGAATAATTATGGTTTGATGACAAAAACGGCACCTTCTTTACACAGTATACTGCAACGTTTATAATACTGAATCTCTTTCACCCACTTACTTTGATTTCTTTCATCATTCAATTCGAGCTGTAGATTGTACATTATTTCAAATGAGCTAAAATTGATCGATATTGCATGCATATCACTTTTGATGTATGAATTGGTAAAAGTGATGTAATTGAATAGTGCTGTTCCAAATATCAGTATAATTTACTGACTCGTCATGCTTTTTATCAGCAGCGAATTAAGGTTTCTCGTGAAGGAGATTCAAGGGAAAATCTTAAGGAATCCTCGAAACGAATAACAATTATCAGTGTCATTGAGTCACAAGCTGGAGACATATTTTGCTTTTAATTTTGTAGACTTAATAACCGGTTCGAGGTTGATGCGTCAATGACTAATGTAAATGGTATCGTAGGATTTTTAAAGGTATTTTCAGTATCAAGGTAAAGTTCAAATTGATTCACTACCATAAACTTTCCAAGGAGTAGTTTTAAATAGAGAATAATACATGGGCGCGCGTAGATATGGAATTTCTCTTCGAGTGTTCAACTCGATAGCTTATGAGTGAGCGCAGCGAACGATTGAGATGCAGAGTTGTACACGAGAAGAGAAATTCCATATCTACAACAGCCATGTATTATTTTGTTTATCATAGAGACACAATAGCCCTTTATTGACAAGAAAAGCCTACTTCATTAATGTATTGTGAATCGACAATCGTAGAGTGCGTTGGCGCTAACTCTTAAGATGGAAAAATGCGTTGAATCATGATTACAAAAACAACAATGGTCGTAATTTTCAATTTACAAAATTCTCATTTATTGGCTTTGTCCCTACCGTCAAAAGAAGTCTTTCAGATAAACGGCCAAATTCGGCCGGTGGCAAATCTTCCAGTTGTCGATTTTCATTCTTAACCTAGAGAAATGGTAACACCAAAGCCGCTGAATACGTAACTTTCGGTTTTTCTTTTAGTAAAGGGGGTAAGTTTCTAAAGAAACTGTGGTGCTGCGTTGGTGGGAGAGTGTAGCAGGTAATTTAGTGTTAACAGCTAGGTTGAAAACGTAAATTGGCCACCGTAAAGAGTGGGTATACTTATAGTATATAGTATAGTATATAGTATACTTTTAGTATATTGGTTTTCTTCCCCTTTTAGGAAAGTTTGAACCTCACTGTCTGTCAGCGATACGGATTTTTTAATGTTTTAGCCGCCATAATTCGAGAAAGCTCCGACAAACAACTTGTATTTAAAATCGTGAAGTCTTTGCCGCTCATTCATCCACCTGACCGAGTGGCGCCAAAGGCAAGTGACGAGTCAGCAGCTGATTGGCTGTATCAACACACGTGAGAAAATACGATGTTTTTTCGTGTGTGTTGTTACGGCTTTTCTCAGGGCCGAAAATCCCTGTATAACACCGCAATTTATGTGATAAAGTATAATATCAGTTGTGAGGAGACCTAAAGAAACCCTAAAGTTATACCAGGAAGTCTCCTCAATTACTCTTAAATTATTAACGACCCCGTGGGAAAGCCAGAATTTACTCTTCTAAACAAGATTTATACAAGCTTTAGTCCCAGCAACTATTCTCTGTTCTCTGTTCCACAAGTCTGGTCGAATTGTGACTCTTGGAAACATACACCTATCCATTATACAGTTAAGAAAAAGAGAGCTTAAGCTTGAGGATACAATTGGAAATTACAGTGCTGAATTTTAAGGGAAGAATATCTGTTTACAACGAAATATATCACAGCGACCAAAGAGGGTAGAATTAATCATTTGTGATAGGTTAAACAAGGATCCCAATATTCATGTCAATTTCATTGGAACTTTGTACTACGGTTCTCTTTGTATCTTTTTCCTCTGTTATGAGCTGAGGTTATTTGCCACTTACTTCCTATAGCCCTTGGTAATGTCGTGCTATGGACATATCGCGAAACAAATGGAACGCAGTGTGCACTTTTTGATGATGGATGTTGGTAACCAAATGAGATATGTTTAAAGATTTGCTAATTAATGTAGGGAGTGATTCGGACATGTATGAAGGCAGGAAAGCCGAACTCAGAACTGCAACTTAAATTAAGATGTAATCTTATGAGAGGTACGAAAGTTAAGAAAATCATACAAACCGTTTCAGGTCTCTCGAACAAGTTAGACGAGAAGGAATGCTACCAGCAAATGATATCGAGAACTTAGCTTGTGTTGAGTCAACAAGGTTTATAAGATCACTCAAGATGTGTTCGTTAGTGATGCAAATTATATTGCTTCTCTTTATTCGGTTTGTGCTTTGGTTACCAAACTTACGTACATTTGCCACGGGCAACGAATCAACAATTATCAATCTCATTCAGAACTTTAGCTGTGATACTGGATTCCAAAGGACTTTCGTAATGTCAAACAATCGCTGTTTCCCTTCTAAATTAAGTTTAAGAGCGAAGGGGCTAATACTTCATTTTCCGGTTGAATATTGTCGAATTGCGACTCAATGAAAACACGTCTATCCTTCATAATTTTTAGAAACAGAGAGATCTAAGCAAGCCTGAAAATTAAAATGCAATTCACCGAGCTGAATTTGAAAGGAGGAACATCTGTTAACGGCAAAAAGCTTTGGCTGAATGACATGAAGTTTCTCCCGAAATGAAAAATATCTCGCGGTGAGAAAAAGTGAAGACAAGTGCAATTGATAAATGACAATATGTGAAACAAATGTTCCATTATTCTTGTTGATTGAACAAAATAATAGAACACAATACGTTACTTAATGTCGAAGACGTAGAAAGTGAATGCACAATCTTCCGAGCCAGAGGCTTATGTTAAAAACGCTCGACAAACTAAAAATACAAAATAAGATAAAATGTGAGTTATGCATATGCAAATATTAATATTTATAACATAGCTAGTAAATTTGTCTCATCAAATTCAATTGCGTGAGCGTACTTCATATTCCTATTGTGCTCGCTCATGACGTTAGCAGACAAATCCCTCGAGAAAAAAAGTTTCCATCGGGTTGAAAATGTTCTAAAACAATTGGTTCATACGTTATCTGTGCGTTCATGGAGATATGAAGCACTTGGGAAATTTGGAGAGCACTCATGAATGATGATTTTAGATATATGAAATTCATATATTTGCACTGCGGTGAAGAAACGAAATTAAGAGATCCTCGCAGCTAAGAACACTACTGAAACGAGTAGTTGGAAATAGGACCTGAAAAAAATTCAGGCCCAGTTGGCTTGTTAGCTCAGTTGGTGCAAATATATGAATTTCATATATTTAAAATCATATATATATATAAATGTGGGGGTAGAGTCTACCTTGGCATAAAGTGCTCAATGCTTTGGTAGCAGAGCTTAGTATACATAAGTTAAAGAATTAAAGAGGACGCATCGATTCTCTGTGACTCTGAGTTTCGCGCCTAAGTGCCCGTCAGACAGAACTTATATATATATATATATATATAAGTGAAAGCTGAGAATCAAATTTACACATTTATATATATATATATATATATAGCTCAAGAGTATGTAAAAATAGGTAAAATTATACACAGTTCATACATTGGCGTCCTGTGAAATTTACATTATTCAGGCGAGCACGAGGTGTAAAAAATTGAGAGATATAATTTGGGCCATCTAGTTTAAGACATTTCACTTCTTGTGGGTTTCCCCGTGTTAAGCTAAGAACATAACGAACAAATGGAATGCGAAGTGCATGTTTTGTTGAGTTTGGTAATAAATTGGGTGCCTTTCCTAACTGATGATATGTTATACGATGTAAATATGAATGGAAGGACCTTTTTGCCAAAGGTAATCTAACGGAACTCAGAATTGCAGAATGCTCCGGGCATGTCTCAAAATTACCTAAAATAAATTAAAGATACCTATGTGGTAAACAAAGAAGTTAAGAAATTTACTACCAATATTTTAGGTCTCTTTCAAGGGTTAAAAAGCAAAGGAATCTCACTAGCAAAAGAGATCAAGCAAATATTCGTTAATGACGCAGTCCGACTAAATTATATTATATTGCTTCTATTTTTAAAGCATTGCGAAAAAAAGTAATCAATCTAGATTTTTGGATTAGATGCTAACTTCCGCTTATGTACGCATTAAAAGTTCAGCTTTTACTCTAAATCTTTGGTATCTCGTTACAAATACTTTCCCACATTTGCAACGAGGTACGCATTCCTCCATTTCTACGTCCCAGGTGGCCATATTTTTCCCTTTCTTTGCAGCAAATTGCGTATTTTCCCGAGTTTGCAAATTTTTCGGTGTTGTTTTCTGCGGTTGCATTGGGTTGAATTCTTACCTCGGTCGAAAACGACTCACACGCTT